TCTCAATCAGTAGTAAGAATCAGAATTGATTAAAATAACTAGTTACTTGTCGAACGACTTTAACCAAGTTTTACAAATGAACCACACAACACTCCTTTTGTCTCACAACAGCTAATTCACGAATTGATTCTGATCATGTGAATAAAATATTAATGACGCATTCTGCTCGAAACGTTTTTTCAAAGTGTTACTGGAACACGCAATTGCCTTAACACGGAGTGCGTTAACTGACATCAAATCCCTTCATGACTCTTTCCCTTACATGAAAGTAGTTTTTAATGTACAAGGGAAAAAGAACAAGCTCAGACAAAAATGCTCGTCATGCTTAACATTTGTATACTTTGATTCTATTCCTGTAAAATATTGAGTTACAAATAGGAGACTCGTTTAGACTTTCCACCAGTAATTTTAAGCTTATTTCCCGTGTTACTTCAAATGGCTCAGTAAAGTATGTCATAAATGCCCAGAGCAACTCCTCTAACCTTGGTGATATTCAAGGCTGGCTATCACTTTTGAATGTTCTGTCAGTCCTGTTTCATTATCAATGTTTCCATTAGAAATCCGTCTGAAAAAACAATGAAGTGAGTTCATTTTTTCGATTTATTCAGAAGAAAATGGTATGTATTAATTCCTTTGCACTCAGAAATCAAGATAGAATTTCGTCCTATTCCGTACATACAGAATTATTTATTGCGAACATATTTCGACCAATGAAATATCACACAAACTAAGAAAATGAGAAGGCGTAATTTATCCGAAACGTGTAGTGTATTTCCGTAACGCATTTCATACAAACTGATCACACACGAACTTGTCACTTACCACTATGGGTAAAATTTATTTTCACTAAGTCTCACAGTGCAATAAAGTAATATTTCAGTAATATGTGTTCGATTGATATGATCATGAGCAATAAATGGTGCACGAAACGTCATCATTAAATATTACAGTATAACACTGTGAGACTTTATCAAAATTAATTTATCTATAATGGAATTATAATCTACCACAGTGCACAAACTTGTCATTTACTTTTACACAGATCACCACAGAGCATAAAATAATACAATATAAGTTCAATTGTCAAAAGTTCAAGGTAATACATAAGAGGTAGGAAAATCACGTAAAAACATTGGATAAGAAGAAGAAGAAAAAGGGTGACAATGTTTCTAAGTAAATTCAGCCCTCGTTCTACAGTTGGATTACCAAAGCATGTTCAGAGGAATGACCAGTAGTAGTTTATTTGTTTATCAACCTTATATATCTGAGTGTATTTCCAATAGTGCATATATCACTGTATCTGGAGTGTTAAGCTGAAGAGTTCTGCGAAAATTTGATGAATTAATTAAATCCTCCTTTGTTAACCTTTGTTGCTTGTCTCAAATGACTAATGATTCTTTTAACACAAAATAGATTTAAGCCCTTTTGTAGCTAAGGTTTGAATGAATATACGTGTGTGACACAAACTTGTTTCAGAGATATGTTTAAGCCATTACACAAATTAACCTAAGATGTGCATTGCCACAGATTATGTCGGGCATCTTTTTTCAGGACTAATTAGGGTAGGTACCAAGACAATGTCAAAACTATACGTTCGCTAATACAACAGGATTCATTCTCTTTATAATATCCTCATCTAACACTAACTCAGAATAGCATGGGCATATATTTTTTGACTACAGCTTGATTCCACACCGTAAATTTTTGGTACAGGTATGGAATTTTCAGTATGTGATATCGGTAGCCCAAATTCTGCAGTCCGACCATTGATATCAGGTGTTCGTCATCAGGGGATCAAACCCCGGACCATGTGCATGGTCGGCGAGAGTTATAACCACTGTGCCACCGACACACAATGATCTTAGCTCAGAGAGCCTTTCCTAGTGTTTATTGCTTTCAAATTTATTCCTTGTCGATTTTGTTTAGTTCGACTTTGTACTACTTAAGACTACTAAGTAGTGCTAAACTTTTCAAAATTTTTCTCTAAGTATTAATATTCTGCTTTCTATATAGCAGTTATCCCCTTATTTCAAACGGTATCTGCTGCATATGGTTCACCTTAATTCTCGTCTCTCTTCGACATGGTTTATTTAGATCCGTTTATTCTCTAACTGGCCTTCGTGCGACATAAATCTGACCGCCTTTGGCAGAGGTTTGCCTCTCTTACCTATTGACAAATATTGACTGTACATTTCAAGGCATTCATTCACATACCCCTCAAAATTTGCAGCTGGTTCATTATATTTCATAATTTTAGGTATAGTGTAGAACCGTACTTCAGATAAATGCTGTGGTTTCGATTTTACTTGAAATTCAAACGATTAGTTAATTAATCTCTCACAATTATCGATTGGGATCTCTAAAAAGATAGCAACACCCAACTTAATTTCATCTAAGTACAATTTTAGTTCACCTTAAAAGGAATTCGAGAAACCATATACACTTGTAAAATAATCCGACACCGAAGTGATAACGGGACTTGTTTGACTCAGAGTCAAGTCATCATTTTGTGTGAGACTAGAAAGTAATTCCTCATAACCCAAAATGACAGCATTAGACCTTTGGTGAGAAGAATGTGTCTCTGTTTTTTCCCATCATCAAACTGTTGATAATTCCAATCCTTCTGCTCAGATATCCCTTATCTGTGGATGGAATAATGTAGGAAATTGCAAGTGTTCGGTGTAAACGAAGACCATACTCTTCTCTATTACAAATGGAGACTGCTGCACAAGTTGTATTTATGTGATAGGCAACAGGGTGACGTAAATTTGTGTTTGTGACTATTAGAGCGATCAGTAACTTACACTTGTGTTAGCAGACAAATCGAAAGATAATTGACAGAAATGTTCAGTAAGGTAGGCCTTCAGAATCTGCATATTTCATGGTAAGTGGTGTTGTGGTGGTGTGATACAGACAGTGTGTGCCAACAGATTATGCTTCTCACATATTTCTACAGTTCAATACAGCATCAGCAAAATAAATCCCCCAGCTTTACACAAGGGTCTCAATTATTCGAAGACTGGTCAATTGTCTTCTCACGTTTGGTTAGTTGCAAGAAGTAACAGGATCTTTTTCTTTTATTTGGGCTAAATCAACAAGAGGTACCAATGTTACAATTTATGTTGGTGTCTGACATGACGATTCAACCAAGTGTTGTGCTGCATTGCACAGAAAATAGCAGTAATATAAGTAGAGGTTTCCTTGTCATTCACGCACCATGAACCAATTAATTTAGTGCGACGATATATACTACTTAAATCAAGTGTTAGTACAAAGATACTCTTTGCATAATAATTCAGAGTTGATGAAAGAGAAACGTGTGCATAAATCTAGAATATTAATGTCAGTAAACGTTACGTTTGCTTTGACTTTCAGAATTTTCACTAAGTTTGATAGTCTCACAGTTCAAACAGAAAATATTTACTTTGTAATGTTTCTAGTTAACATTCTCACATGTCATTTCGTTTTGTGTTACTTCTGTCTTCCTTACATGTGTTATGTAATGTGTCACAGGGATCTCTTATTTCCTCCCTTCGCAAAACGATCCACAGCCCCTCTCATCAGCATTCTTGGAGAATACATTCCACACCATAAAACAAAGACAGGATCTTGTTAGCAGCATACGCCACATTACTTAGGAGATTTTAGCTGGCTGTAGACTACTGAAGACAGTTTTACTATGAATATGAATGTGCTATGTACCTAGGTGGTGTTCACGTCACCTAAATCTGGGTAACAAGCACATTTGTGGTCTCCATTAGTCTTCAACTACCCATATGAACCAGTAGTATCTATCGCATCGCACAATCTCCACTACTTCTCACGTTTTTCTATCTGCATTAGCTCTGTATATCTTCATTTATTTAGAACATTATTGATGAGCTTGATGGGAAAATAGACCACTCCGTATAAAATGTATCAGTCTTAATTAGTATCCAACCCAGTTATTTCACAAAAACTGCAGACTCAGCTGAATGAAAGTCCTTTAAATACAAGTTATATTTGCAAACATCTTACCGATATTTGTCTCTTGATCTTGATCACTTTTCTGAAGATATTCTGACTAGTTTCACCAAAGAAATGTGGGGAATACTAATTTCACTACTACTGAAAAAGCCAAGTATGTACACTCTGTGAAAATAATCAGTACCTTGAATTTGTAGCCTAATTTCTAACTAATTCAGTGATGAATGGATTGCAAAACAAAACTATTTACATATTGAAATTACATTCACTTGAAAATTGAATACAGGGAGAAAATCTCTATCCTTCTATAAACTTACTACAAAGGACCTACAAATACTTTTTCACTGATCGACAAGACATTGCTTTCTCTGTCTCATTAGCATACTACTTGTTTACTCTGCATGGTGACTTCTCAGTTGACAGGTTTATTTTCGTGACAGTGACATTTAAGCTTTAATGTTGGTTATTCGCCAAATAATTGAAAGCATATATATTTTCTACAAGTGTATCACTCAGTACTTCACTATCATTATTATTATCGTTATTATTAATAATAATATCAGGCAGTCATACATATACTCAAGACCCATTTAAAAATCTACTTAAACCTGTGTTGAATCGAAAAAGGAGAAAATGTGAGAAATTCAGTCCTATCCTGACCAAGTAGACTCTCTGTCAATTATTCCTTTTATTTAACCTGTTTCCTGGTTGGTGAGTTAGTAGTTTGGTGGTAGGATGCTTGTCAGTCACACCTCACGTTGTCTGAGGTTTTATCTTTGACTGACGCAATCCTAAATCTCTCCTAGCTAACAAGCCGAGAATGATGGATGGGTGTGAGACTAGCAGCCTCAACCCGTAAAACATAAAGAAAAACACCACTGCTACTGAAACTTCTAAGCTTGGTGCCTAATGTTCCACTCGGAAGGCAAACAAAATAGAAAATTATTCCTTGCTGACTTGAGAGAAAATAGAGTAAACTGCTTTCACTGTAATTAATTCTTCCAAGTTGTTACTCTGATGTATTAGTGTACAGAGTAATTTTTCTTCATAAACTGGTCAAACGTCTTTATCGTGGTTACATATTACAAGGCTATCGTCAACATACATCAAAATATAAATAACCCCAGTGATCGAATCATTCCTGAAGATTATGAAGGCTGTTTAAGTTGGGGCATAGAAGGAATCCACACTGCAATGTATGTTATTGATAAAGAATAAGAAAATGAAGAACACAAGCTGTTATGAATTCCATAGATGATTTATCTATTCACTGGTTAACTGTAATAAACACAATTGCTTAAAGAATTCTTCCGTTACGTAAATTACATCATGATTCTGAAACAGTAGATGGCCACCTCTGCTATTACAAACACTGTGATAACTAGTGAAAACATGCCCAGTACACCCATAGACCAATCATCACGAATATGCAAGTGACCAGATTTGAAGATCAATTGTCCAACCATAACTGACACCTGTGTAGGCAGGAAATAAATAAGAAAGTGACGAAAGAATAAATAAGTAGCAAATATGAATAGATTGTTAGATATCTATCAACTCTAAATACAAATTGAGAATTAGTTTCACTAATTAGTTTTGGCTACAGCATGTAGTTTTAATTTTGGTCTGATGATGATAAATGGAATTCAGGCAGATAACGAGTCAGTCAGTCAGTTAGTGTCTAATATCCACAAGTCAAAAACTTCATATAAACGGACAAAAAGCATTGACGAAGTTTGAACAAGTCATTGTTACATGGATAGAAATAACCAACAGAATTGTGGTGATGCATTAGCTGATCGCATGCACTCATGTATGTTTCTGTCGAAGCCCTACATATATGGGTAGGTCCCAACAGTTTGAACAGACGTGAAGGTGTGATGTTAGCTGATGCATGGTAAATCCTGATCAATAAATAAAAGATGGATGTGTATCACTAATTAATCATACTTGTCTATATCTCCTCGAGGCTAAGAAATTTTGTACAACTGTTTACCCATACACACATACACACACCATTGTATACTGCATATGCACATATTTTCATATTCAGTTATCTACGACCACGAACTGCTAGTCGAACGTATTCTGGTGAAAAGTATACTCAGTTTAAACTGTTTAACGAATGTAGACTAAAATTTATAAGTCTGAGGTCAAATTTTGATCACAACTCATACAACTTTGATTATTTGGAGTTCATCATGAGCTGACATCAGTTATTATACATGTTGATGCTTGTTTTGATGACTCATATGCTTGGACAAAGTTTTTAAAAAACACGATTTGAACTTTTAATATATAACCCTCTGTTATGTTAATTTTGATTAATTTCCCTGAAGAAGTTGAGACCAGCTTGTTGAACAAAACGTTGGAATTACTCGTTTCAATTTCGCTGAGATATTACAAATATAATTTTAAACATAGTCAACAAAAATACAGGTATAATCCTGGTGTATAAGACAATATGAATACTTCAGAAAATAAACCAACGAATGGGGCAGACTAGACATAAGCTCAAGGTTGAAAATAACGACAATAATGATGATTGTCAAATAATAACGATGATGTGGTGTAAACTAAAAAGTACTATTGGTGAATGATTGTCAAATAATAATAATAATGACTTTAGTGAAGTGAAATGAACAGGATTTTGTAAATACGATAACAAGTTAGAAAAGCACTACTTAAACCTAAAGTAATAAAATCATAAAAAAGATAATGAAATCATAAAAAGTCAAAAAATGAACGTTTGTCAATGAAAAAAAGGAATAGAAGAAGAAAAGAAAATTGTGATAGGAATTCACAGTGCTAATGTTTATGGAGAATTTGTTGGCCTTATTGTAAGCCAAGGTAAACATAGCGGTTGAACATACTTCTTCTATATACAAAGAGTCGGTCTTCTGGTATTGATTTCAACCACTTCAGCTACTGATAGAAGACGTAGTCGAGGTCCTCTAGACAGATTAACAGGAACGCGGTAAATAACTGAGAACGCATAGTCAAGTTTTATCGAGTGTCCAATATCTACCAAATGGCCTAAGACTGTACTATTTGCGCATTTGGTTACCCCTTTACTCAACCATACAAGTACATGTTCACGCGCGCTCATGGATAAAACCCTCTGCGTACAGTCAATCTAACTAGCTCCACATGAGCAGTTGAATTCACAGATACACATTGATGGGGCTATCTTTGGTAATTTACCCTTGACTCGTTGTGTGGGTACTGGTTTAGTTGAGAAGTTGAGTACCAGTTTAACTGCAGGAAATGTTCTATCTACCGCTCTGTTAAGTCGACATTTTAGAATATCAGCTGCAATTTCCACTTTGCAGTTTAACTTAAGATACAAAGGTTTCTTATCTACGTATCTCAAGGTATTGACATACGATTGTTGAGGAAGTTAAGGATAAGATTCCGCTTTTGGACATTTCAGTGTGTATTTATCAAATTGCAAAGTATATCGGCCGTACGCAACATCAAGTCCACAAACGTAATCTGGAACACTTTTCAGCTTGGTTAGACAGAGAAGAAAAGACGAATAGCAGCAGCTCTACCCTCAAACAGCTTGTCATCTCTGGATGTCGAGCACCGCCGCATGAATGCTTCACAGTGTTACACAGAGTCCCTCCATATCGTACAAAGGGATTTCGAATAGGCCATCTGTACATAGCTGAAGCATTAGCTATTCGAGATCTGAAAGCGGACCTCTGTATTCAAAGGCGATAAATACATTCACTCACCCTACCGTGGCCAGAGTAAATTTCTTACTACAATTTCACTTCTTATCTTTTTATTACGTACGTTTAGTATTATTATTGTTATGAATGATATTATTTTATTGTCATTATTATTCCCTTCACCCATATTTTATTACCACTCTATTACTGTTTATTAATAACATTGCTTTTTCATACAGATTTCATGTAAAAACACTTTATCGCCTTTCCACTAGTTCCTGTCTATTCTACACTATTTTACTGATTGGTCATTATCTCACACTTATCACTTCATGCCAACTTCTGCCTCTTTTCTAACTTACAATTAGTCAACCCTTCTTACACCTTAAATTATGTAGTACATTTTTCGAGGACACAGTTTAATAGTATCTGATTGGTCTAAAGATTTCTTTGTTAATTATAATTACGATTGTACAGCTCATGAAAATGAATCGTCGAAAACAAAATTTTCTTCTCTGTTTACGCCTTTTTCTTATCTTCAGAAGCATTGAAAAGCCGATGTTGAGATCGCAGAGGATATGCGGCAGACTGTGCAGAGCGAGAAGACGGTCACACATCGACCGATAAGCAGACTCTGGAAGATCTTGATTTCGTGGACGACTTACGTCTAATGTTACATAAACTCGAAGACTTTCACGTGAAAGTCAGAATTGGAAGCAGCGAAGATAGGACTTCATTTGACAAAGAAAAGATAATGCAGGCAACGACAGTAAGCACCATACATATCCTTCGCTTATTTAGGTAGTATGGTTTCAACTACGAGCGGTGACTTGGAGGACGATGTTAAAACCAGAATCGGAAAGGCGACACAGACCTTAATCAAGCTAAAATCAGTGTATAAATCTTCTGAATTCAACACAAACAAAACAAAATCTTTGGTTTTTCTTCTCTGTGGGTCAAAAACTTGGTGCGCGCATCACAGGAAGCACTTCTGACCAGCTGTAGACTTCCATCAACAGCTTCCTTCACTCCATACTAAGACCAAATGACCAGAAAGAATTAGTGACAAGAAACTATGAGAACAAACATACGCCTATTGTTCAACAACCATGCAGAAGAAAATGGAGAGGGATAAGTCTCACGCTGAGAAGACTTTCGAATGAAATCGCACATCACACACTAGGATGAAATCCGGATGAGGGACGATGAGTGGGTCATGAATTCGAGAATGACAGAAAGGAGATAGTGGAGGAGGAGATGAGAAACTATAGGCAATCCAAAGGCCAGCTAAAGACGACAGCAGAAAATAGGACAAAGTGGAGATGAACTATTGAATTCCTACGTTACACTCGAAACCGAAAGGAAGAATAGTATTGATATAATAATAGGCTGTGCACTCTATTGCTTTGTTGAAAAGTAAGGAGTCTTCAGTTTTGCGATAAGCTGTCAATTGCAAGAGTGAGCGATGCTTGATTTGGAGAAATGAAAATCTTGGTAGGACGACCTTAAAAGATAAGTGGTTTGGCTGATGTGGAGATTTTCGACGTGAAAATACGAATTATAATCTTATAATTCAAACATTCGAAACGAAATGGATTGAAGAAAGAGGAGCTTTGATTTAAATGGTAAACCATATCAGTCATTGTTTTGACTTTTAGAATAATTTACTCACCAGAAACGCTTCTATAAACATTCCTATTCCAGCGATGATAACAGCAACCTAAAATTGAAATGAACAGTCGAAGTAAGGACAGTGTGAACAGGACAAACTTGAATAATAATTGAATGAAATGAAAGTTGAACTCATTTTCTGGATGGAAAGTGACACTCTACGATGCATTTAGTCGTGAAAGTATTCAGCAGTATATTTCAATCATCTTTTTTATGTGCTTACGAGTTTCATTAGCGATGCGTTTGGCTGTAACACTCAACTCTCCCTCACTTCTGGACTAAGTGATGGCTGTTAAACTATGCGAGGGATAATGCCTCGACAAGGAATCCAAGTACATGATAGGCAAATACACATTGGCAACAAAATATCTAATAGCCTACTGTCCACCAAAAGTGCAGAACCAGGTTGCACTGGACGGCAGTTTCGGTTTCCTCAGCAGCACAGGCCCATCAGTATCCTAACTCAGGATTTTCCTGTTACAAAACAGCCTCGTATACCATTAAGTCACTGATAAGAAATACAATGGAACATTAATTCCACTTTCTGTCAGTTCGTGATATATACGGTGCAACCAGCAGCCACTTTTATCGGTTAGTAGCTATTGTCACTCCTGACTTGATGGACCTCTCTGGTCACTAATTCTAGAGAGACGTTGGAATTTATGAGTCATCAGATTTGACCCCAGTGGCCAAATGATCTGAGAGCCTGCTCTGCAACCGAAAGTTCATGGGTGTGAATTCTGGTAGGTGCGTACTGATGTAGAGTCTAAAACTAAGATAAAACAATCATACAGTACTCCCTAAGTTTCCATTGTTGTTAAAACCAAAGTCAGCTTGTGATGAAACCTGTGATCAATCAAATGCCTGCGAGCCAAAACTTGAAAATATGCAGACGTATACGTAGATGGATTGGATATTCGCTGAAGAGACGTTCAAATTGTATTCTGCTAAAATCTGTCCAATGTTATCCGAATGATTTAAAAAACCAAGTTAGGTATAGGTCTGACAGTGAACCGGAGAAGATCATGAGAAGCCATTATGATCGCTTGTGTATAGTCCTGGATTCCGCTGAAAGTGATAACAGAGAACTGAGTGGAGAGGAGATGAGCTTGTGAAGTCATATGTTTCACTCGGATCTCAAGGAACCAATAATTGTAATAATACGTCTAACTTTGTTTCCTAAGCTAGTAATTTATTGCTTATATAAAATGACTAAATAGTTGACTGTAATTCTTAATGTTATTCTTATTTGTATGGAAAAATAAATCTTGTCTTCTCTGTCAATCATCTGTTTCTTCTCATTGTGAGGAATGGTAGTCCGTTTGATCGGTAGCATATTGCTTTCCAGTGCTGAAGTCGCAGTCACAACACTTTAGGCACGTGTATTATTGTTGTGTTGAAGTAGCTGTAGAACGAGTCCACAATCCCAGTAACATTGAAGTTACACCAGAAATAGTAAACATAAATTTCATTCATTAATTATTTAGTACTCCAGTACTCCCTAGTGGTTTACAGTGGTTGGCTAACTGTTATTAATCCATGATTAAACCTAAAATTACAGGATACATATAAACTGACAATATGTTAACATACCATGACTTTTTTGAAAGCAATTAGTACTCCCATGGCAATGCCTGTCAGAACAAAAATCACAACACACACTAACAGGAAGGCGTCGAATTTCTTAATCAAATCTTTCTTTATCATTGCCCCTAAAAATACTCCACATGCACATATGACAACAGCTGCAACCCAACCCAGAATAACATCCACAAGTGTAGCACTGGTAAAGAAAATGGACAGACAAATAGAGCAACATATTCCCTGGAGTTGAAAAGTAAAAGAAAACAAATTAGACACAGAGTCAATTTATTTATAGCAAATTTTGATTTCATGTTCGCTTCAAAAAACAGCTAAATAACACCTGAAGTGTATTTGTTAAAGGCGTTTGCCATTCATGTCTTCAAAGTGTAACTTCGTTAATAGTCTGCAGATGCTATCTACTACATGGTTGTAGGACCTTATATTTTGATGGACGTAACCACTAATTGATTAAATATGATGCTGTCATCATTGGAGTCAAATGCAATGGACGATGAATTGAAACCTCTGGCAGTTTGCGACATATGGTGCAACTGTCAGCCAATGTCCTGTTCCAAACAAAGTGGTTTTCTAGTCCCATCAGGATGATGCAACTTCTTCACCTTCCACATCTTCCACACTTTTTTCAGTAGTGTTGTGAACATACCTGCTGAGCCATCTGCTTCCGTTTTGAGTGCTTCTTTGGGCATTCTATCTAGTCCTGCTACTTTACTGGGTATTTAGTAACTTTCTGGTTTTAATCATTCATCTTTGAAATATCATCTTCGTTCACTTACCAATTTTATTCTGACCTATAATTCACCTTCTTCAGTCAGAAGACATTTCATGGATATGTCGAAATAAAATTGCCCCTCTGACTCTGATGCACCTTAATAAGTGTTTGCAAAACTATTTACCCCTTACACCCAGATACTTCCTGGCAGTAAGATCCATACACTTTCGAAACACATCTCACAATACTATCCAGTATGTCTATCAAAGAACACTGCATGTCAAACACTAGTTCAGTTCTTCAGTATCTGAGAAATCCCCGGTCAAACAGATTCATTGTAGTCCTTCTATAAATTTTATCTGCATAAATTGCATATTAATTGTTGTGAAAGATGTTAGACTCTGACAGATTTGAACTTACAATTTCAGTCTCATGAATGGTGCCCATCAAACGTCTCATTTTATTAGTAACTGAGTATCGTTTACATTTGCTTAAGGGAATAAACATGAAGAAGTTATGTATCGAAAATACCGATTGACTCACATAAATGAGAAGAGTAATTAAAGCAGTAATCAGTTTTTCTCTGAAATATGTAGAAATTACGATAAGATATCCACTGGCTATGGCTAACACGCTGAACAGAAATAATTTTTTAATGAAACTTTATTGATACATTGAAAATCAAAAGTTTCATTTCCAGCCTTTCACTATCTACTTGTCCACATGTTACTTGGCTAAACATATTTCCCTAGTATGCTTATTTATTTCCCACACTTCGAATAAACTATAATTATCTCCTCCTCTGTAGCAGAGTGTTTTAGAACGGTTTGATTTCAGAACAACATTACTTGGTGAAGAATTAAACCGCACTCGGTATTTTACAGCTCTGTAGTGCTTCTCAGGTAACAATTTTTTGAACAAACTCCTTCCAAGCCTAGACATCAGAACGTTTTACTGAGGCTGCTACAGATTTTCGATTGATAATAATAATTTGCTTTATTCCAAAACAGTACATGTGATACAGAATGGAATTCTCAGCATTTTTACTACAGTATTGCATCCAGTTAGTACATTATCAATAAATAGAATTCTACATAGATTAAGGAAATCTCAGTTCATTATGACAACAACATATTGGCATGTCGGTAGCAAAGGTAAAGCTGAACAGTGTTTGAAGGTGTTAGAAAAGTAGGAGCTGTCATATTTACTGGCGTAAGCGAGAGAAAGAAACAAAGCAGCACATAACGGGAAAAAAAGAGAAAGGGAAAAGGAAAAGAGAGAAAGAAAATGTTGTACCTATAAATGATATGAGTTGGAAAGACGAGATCCAGTTGTACTACTGACTATTTAATGAATTATAGGTGTCACGCCTAATGCTTTCTTTATCACACAGAACACGAGCTAAGTAGGGTATGGTTGAGTTTTTGTACTTGCTGGTGCGAGCATTTAATTTTCTATATAGGCTTCTGGTTTTACCTGATGAGATGCAAGGGGAGAGTTGTGAGTGAAGAGGGTGGTGTGAGTTAGATAAAATGGATTTGGCCCATTTTTCACATGAGTCCATGTGCCTGTCAACCAGAGTATTAACAAGCTGGTTAAGTGGCACGTTGCTTACCCTGCTGACAACCTTTAACATCCTGCGTAATATGTTATAGTCTTTCTTCAGTAGCCCGGGAAAAACTAAGGGGGAACAATAGAGAATAATAGGCAGAATGCGAGAATTAACGAATTGTAGGAGTAAGGGTTGGGTTATACCAGAATGTTTTAACTTCTTGATGTAGAAGGTAAGACGGAATATTTTCTTAGAAATCGCTAAGATATGAGACGACCAGGAGAGATCAGCAGATAGAATGACGCCTAGGTATTTAATTTCCGATTTGGTTTCTATTTCAGTGCCGTCTATGTTGCATACCTCGTGAGAGCCAACCAGTTTGTTTAGGTCGGATTTATGCCTAAAGGTGAAATTGACTGTTTGGCATTTGGAGGGGTTTAGGGTAAGACCGTTTTCCTTGGACCACTGGCTGATTTCTGACAGAAAGCCATTAAGTTTAGAGCAGTCGCTTTGACATTTGACAGGCAAAGATACTGTCAGGTCGTCAGAATATTTGACAAAATTAATATCATTTGAAGATGGTAAGTCATGTAGAAAGAAAGAAAAGAGAAGTGGGGAGAGTACAGCACCTTGGGGGACACCAGCTTCAGTGAGTACAGCAGAGGATGATTTGCCTTTGTATACGGTGTACTGCTTTCTGTTAGAGAAGTAGGAATGCAGCCAGTTAGTGACCCAGGACTCAGTTTTTGTCAAAGAGAGCTTATTTAGCAGGAGACATCTAGGTACAGAGTCGAAAGCAGAAGTGAAGTCGAGAAACGTGCAGCGGACGTATTTGGCACCTTTATCTAATGATGAGACGATGTTGTTGTGTAAGACGGCTGCAGCGTCTAAAGTGCTCCTACCCTGTCTATAGGCAAATTGTTTGGGGTCTTCAAAGTTTTTAAGGTGGGGTTAAAGTTTAAGAAGTATTAGTATTGATATTAAATGCAACACATTCAACCGAATAATGAGGCATAAAATCAGTTATTTATTATCTGAAACCGCAGACGGAACCTGATGTTGTTACGCATCTCTGTAGCTGTCAGCAATTCTCCTACGGAAATAATCACTCGAAATACACAAGAATATAAGGTGGCTTCATTGTTAATTTGAGGTAATAGTATTGCCCTTTTAACTAAATAGTAACAATGACTAGTATGAATAAACAATTTTTTACAAATGAAAAATGCATCCACAATGAACAGAATACTGAAGCTAAATTGAACTTACCAAAATACCATAGTCATTATAAAGTGAACAACAGGATTCAAGTCGTACGACCCACTTTCATCTAACATACACAAGAGAATGATGAATACTTACAAGAAGTGTGGGGCTATAACGATGATTATTGCAATTATAATGAGTATGATAGAGAACACAATCACCTATGAGGGTTACACAATCAACCAACAATGACATGAGACGACCTACACGTTTGTCATATTTCGAAATGTTGACGAAATTTTTCTGTATTTTCTGATCACAGTTTATCACAAATGACTCTTCATTTGTTGCATATAAAGTCTCCTCAGATTTACGGAAAGATGATTTGTTTGAGTCGTTGTCAGTTAGTACCATCCTGAAAGAAAGATGAACCTGATTTGAAATTTAAATAGAAAATAGGATGATTACTGCTGTTCGGTGTGTAGAATGATTCGAAAGCATTTGAATAATGTGATATAAATAGGTCTGATTTGTGTTCTGTTTTTGATATGTATGTGATATAGGGATGGCTGAGCACTCAACATTCAGCCAATTGCTGTTGAGATTGTATTTCAGCTCGCTAAATTCAGTGTGCAGTAACATCGGCTCTCAAACGGTACGTGAGCATCTGGAAAATTTCATTATCACTAGGTGAGGAAGTGAGTATATATGATTTAAGCTATTTGAAAAATTCCTGCATACTTTTAAACGTCATTTTATTTTGAATATAACTCATTCAATAGGCGTCATTCAATTTTACTCAATGGAACTGACAGATTTTTTGACTGAATCCAACTGATTTCTGATGTTTCAACACGCTAACTGTTTACGCATAATTTGGAAAAGAATTCTCACTTCCTTGTAATCACATATAAAACGATATCTTTGTATCTGCAACTCCACTGATATTCGATATTGAACGATCAGATAATGCATTCACAAACGTTTATACAATGCCTACACTGCAGGACTCATTGCCTAACTTATTGGAACAACTAACATCAATCCAGTGACCAACGTGTTGATCTGTGCATTCTAAACGTGGTGAAAAAACGCAGTCAGTCCATGGTTCAGTGTAACAATCAATACATACCGTACTTCAAAAGAAAATTATTGTGAAATAATTCAGATCAGATAGCCGCCTAGTTCATTATTCACTGTCTATTTATATGAAAAATAACAGTAGAAATGGTTATGTGAATGTGATTTTAAAACTCAAAGTCCACAGAATTTTTGACAAAATGTAAGTGTTTTCCAAAAATGTAGTAACACAGTACTCCAATACTCTAGATTGTACTATTCGTATAATAATTTAATATTAAATAGACATCTTGAACTGATTATATTTTGATCATGGAGAAATAAATGAATGCAAATATTCTCAACTTTGATACACTGGAGGTAATTTCAAACAGTAAAACAGGTTATGAAATATACGAAATCATTCATGAAAAGAATAAATCTTAGAAGGAGGTGTAAAACTGACAGGACTAATAGATAAATGAAGCATCATCTGACAAACTCTGAATTTGGATAAGTCAGTTCAAAATAGGAAGAGATGAGACAATCGAAGAAACTGTTTAAGGCGAATAAAGAAATGACAACACTAGCAGATTGAATGAACATTGATTCAAGATAAAATTCATATTTAAACCAGATAAAATGATTACATTCCGATGAAATCCTTAAGATCCACAAACCATCAGAAATGTCCAAGGAGTAACTTTGCTACAAATCAACCCCAAAAACTTATTACGTTGGTGAACAACATTGTCTCATGGCTCCAATAGATTCCGCTTTACAACAAATCTTATGTGATCATTCTTCAGTTAATGTTAGTCGGTGGCACAGCGGTTAGGACGCTCGCCGACCATGCACATTGTCCAGGGTTCGATCCTCGGCCGACGAACACCAGATATCAGTGGTCGGCCTGCAAAATTTGGGCTACCGATATCACATGCTGAAATTTCCATACTTGTATCAGAAATATTAGGTTCCTATGACCATATGTTATTTGCTTCTTCTGTGTTAATCACTTTCTGGATAGAGACTTTGTTGTCTGATATAATGTCCTGAGGTCTCATTTACCTGCATCCTATTCTTCTACAAATACCACTGTGTCGTAGAATTGCATTTTGTCTCTCCTGGCACTCTTCTTCACTTCGTCATTCACCATTGGTGTGCATGGAACTCAGCGTCAACTTCTGTAGTCAATTTCTGTTATGACTAATCTTCTGTTTCACCATCCTCCTCTCCTCGATCAGCTTCCAGGTAGGTGTCCGTTGAGATCCATTACTTGTCTTTACTCTCTTTTCTTCCTAAAATGGTTGTACACATTTCCTTGAACATCAACGTCAGAGTTCTGATATTCTACAAAACTGGTTTCCTCATTGATGCTACGTAACGTATCTTGCCTTGTCCTAATGGCTGCATTGATGGTGTTCTTTATTGTTGGATTCCTTAATTTACAGATGTTGAACTAGACACCTGCATGTCCTTGTGCTTGTACATGTTACCTCTGATCAAAAGATGCTTAGATACAGTCTGCGAAGAGTTCTTTACTCTCATTCTTTTCCCTGAGAGCCTGTCGATACATGATGAATTCCTTCGTTGTACTGTGTGCCCCCAGCTTAGTGTTCATATCGCCCATCAGGACTTTGATGTTGCCATTTCGGATGTGATCCATTGCTGTTTGCAGTTGTCTTTAAAAATCCTCCTTCTTCTCTTCTTCCGAGCGGATTTTATGCAAATAGCATTGGATAATTGTAACCTTTCTCACTTTTGAGTTGAATCATACTGTCATTATCCTAAATCAAATTGGTTCTTACTCCGTTAGAGCTTTTTCTGCTATTAGTAACATCATGATAGGCACTCCCTCAGTGTGTTTTTGGTTGTCATCTGGATGACCAAATTAAATTACTGACTGCCCAGTAGACAGCTTGGCTGGTCCATATCATTTCACTTGTACTCACAGATTCCTGGCACTTCCATGGTGTATCTTTTCATTTCCCAGCTTCGTACGTTGTACGAACATTCTATGTCCTAGTTATTATCTTTGCTACAATCTAGAGAAGACACACCGGCTGACTGACTTTCCGAAGTCTTTCATCTCTCCACATCATTTCGTCTCTCTGATTCCAGCAAAGACCAATTTTGTTTTTTTATATTTTTCTTGTGCTTAGAAATTTCAGGAAGGATTGGATTGCTTTTTTAGGGTAAGATTGGTAATTTCGCGCATTAATTTTCCTCTTTCTCAGGGTTTGGGGCTGGCTGGAAAATCAGTAGGCTATTAAACTAAGCGAGGTTTCTGTACATCCATTACTGATCAAAATTAGAAGGTGAAAATTTCTGAACTAATTTTTTTTCAGTCACTATAGTCTCAGACATACTACAATCGCTACTATTACTGTCAGTAGCACAGACCTTCACCTTACAAATAAACACTGCAGTTTTAATATGTCGTTTTGAATAATTAGGGATAATTTATTGCTGCGATTTAAACTAGCGGAATGTAATCAAGTCGAATTGACACGCTACTACAGTTAATGAAGATTCCAGTAATGATCCGTTCCCGTCGACACATTTGAAAACAATAACAAAATGAGCGAAAAAACAAATTCCTCTTCAATTAGTTCCTCATCAAAAGCTCCACATGTGTACAGTTTGAGTCGTACATCAAAATAATGCCAATCTTTCAGTGATGTGTTAGTCAATAAGTGTTATTAGTTTTGAGATTTATTAGGAATTAAGATAACTGAGGGACGGAAGATCATTTCGTCTATAGATTTGAACAACAGGTCATTACACAACGTGTAAGACAATGACAACTGTGAACAATGAATAGGTGAGATACGTCAGATTAGGTCCACTGAATCAGATAAAATAATAGTCATAATAAAATAACAGAAATACAAAATAAAAATGTCAAATGATATTCCCAAGGACTGGAGGAAATTGCTTACGAGCATCTATATATATTATGTTGGCGGACAGAATAAAAACGACAACTGTAATAAGTTCCTCTGAACAAACAGATTTAGCTTACTAAGACGAATCCCAAACGCCTCTACTGTATACAGGGAACAGATTTTGAACACATGTATGGAGTACGAAAAATATATTGAAGATATGAGATAATATTGAGCTACGTGAAGTTGTATAATCAAGATGAGTATTGTACAGTAATACGCTGATGAGCTTGTCTAATCGTACCCACAATATAACTACTCCTACAACAGTACTTAAACGGATAGCTACACATGGAATGGATGAAATTATGCAGTATGTCTTCATATTACGATATAAGTAAGCCTAGTTTGAGTAGCGAATGAACAGCACGACATGCCTGCGTTAATAGTCATTTCGAAGGCTCTACTTAGATGCGATACAATTTCATCTTTAATATCTCCCATGACTTTCAGTCTTAAGAGCACTTAGGGGATCGTGAACACTGCAGAGTTATTCGCTGGTTGTTTCTTCTGAATAAATAAATGTCGCGGGATAAACTAAGCATTTAGCAGAGGAGAATTAACAGTACGAAACTGAGAAAGTGAATTAATTGCTCATTATTCATATAATCTACTATGCGCATCAGCAGAACATTGGTGAACAATCATGACACATTCAAGTATATCACGAAATTACTGTTTCTTAAAGTCTCTAATTTCGTCATTCCGTTTTCCAATCTCTTGAATTATATAACTGTTAAATTAGAAGATATATTCTGAGATAATATAACTTCATAATCTCTTTACGTCCACTTTACAAACAGAATCATCCAAAATATTGCGATACAATCTTAAGTAATTAATTAGTTACATAAAATGTGAAAGTACATGTTTATGACCAAGTGTTTTTAGTAGGTCAAGTAATCTATAGTAGGCAAAGGTGGAAATCTACTGACTTCTGTATTCATAGTTTGGGGTGCACGTGATTCAATGCTTCCATCATCTTTGAATACCTTGAGCTAAAGTTGTGTGTAGTAATTGAGTGCTGAGTGCTGTTGATCTCCACACAGACTTGAGAGTAATGAAAGCTTGCCTTGCTTTCCAGATTCTCGCTTTGATATCCTCACCGGTTCCACTTGTAGTTGAAACTATGCTTCTCAGGTCGGTAGGTAAAGGAGGTTGCTTCTTTCAGATTTCTTCCACCAATGTTGGTTGTTTTTGTTGTTGTTGTTGCTGTTGCTGCCTCTGTCGGCCAGGAATATCCATCACCACATCTGTTTTCTTTGTGTTCATCTAAAGTCCTTCCTATCTATGATGCTTCTTCTGCCGACTTGTTGCTTTTCACTTGCATATCTTTCAGTTTGTGGGAAATCAGACATATATCATCGCCGAAGTCCACATCCTCCAAGTATTTTGTGTGGGTCCATTCTATGCCTGTTTACTCACTGCCCGCTCTCTGTCACAATATCCAGTCTACCGCAATCAGGAAAATCACTGGAAATAGTAGGCAACCAGCTTGTCTTTCTGCTGTCTCCACTTCGAAGGATTCCGTGAGTTTCCCGTCATGGATTACTTGGCAAGCATTGGATGAAATGTATAATTGCTGGCAGCACACCGTGGTAGCGCAGTAGTTTCCAAATCACCTCTCGATCGACGTCATCGAAGGCCTTTTCAAAGTCGATGAAATTCAGATAGACAGCTGACTGCCATTTCAGGCTCTGTTCAATGATAATACGTAGTGTTGCCATATTCTCGGTGCATGACTTGTTTCTTATGAATCCAGCCTGTTCCGGTTGAAGTTTTTCATCCACACACACATGATAGATGACTTGTTAAAATCTTCCAACAAAAGACCACTCGATATTTCTAACATACTCAGACATTAGGATGAAGGTTGCGTGCAAAGTCAACACAAAATATTGCTTCACTGATATTCCACTTCTCGAAACTAACCATTATTTCTGCATATGATGGGAACAAAACTGCTGAAATGGAGATTATTCACTACCTATCTACCTGTGTATTCCATCCTCCCGCACAGTCACCAAAATATCCAGGAAACCCAATTAGTTATGCATTTCGAATTCTAAATTCATTCGAATATTTGGATTATTGAGATTAAATAGAGTAGTGGAGTTCTCAGTTGACTGATAAATGTCACCAATTATAAGCATATTATCCACATAATGTTTATAAGGTGCAACGTTTCCCAGAATGCCTTTCATTTCTTTCTCAAACTGCAAAATAAAGATATCTGCTAA